CTTTTAACGTTCTGTAAAGGTTCTGTAAAATGTTCCTTTTAACGTTCTGTAAAGGTTCTGTAAAATGTTCCTTTTAACGTTCTGTAAAGGTTCTGTAAAATGTTCCTGTAACGTTCTGTAAAGGTTCTGTAAAATGTTCCTGTAACGTTCTGTAAAGTGTAAAGGTTCTGTAAAATGTTCCTTTTAACGTTCTATAAAGTTTCTGTAAAATGTTCCAGTAATGTTCTGTAAAGGTTCTGTAAAATGTTCCTGTAATGTTCTGTAAAGGTTCTGTAAAATGTTCCTTTTAACGTTCTGTAAAGGTTCTGCAAAATGTTCCTGTAATGTTCTGTAAAGGTTCTGTAAAATGTGCTTTTTAACATTCTGTAAAGGTTCTGTAAAATGTTCCTTTTAACATTCTGCAAAGGTTCAGTTAAATGTTCCTTTTAACGTTCTATAAAGGTTCTGTAAAATGTTCCTAACGTTCTGTAAAGTTTCTGTAAAATGTTCCTAACGTTCTGTAAAGGTTCTCTAAAATGTTCCTTTTAACGTTCTGTAAAGGTTCTGTAAAATGTTCCTTTTAAGGTTCTGTAAAGGTTCTGTAAAATGTTCCTTTTAATGTTCTATAAAGGTTCTGTAAAATGTTCCTTTTAACGATCTGTAAAGGTTCTGTAAAATGTTGCTTTAATGTTCTGTAAAGTTTCTGTAAAATGTTCCTTTTAACGTTCGGTAAAGGTTCTGTAAAATGTTCCTGTAATGTTCTGTAAAGGTTCTGTAAAATGTTCCTTTTAACGTTCTTTAAATGTTCTGTAAAATGTTACTTTTAAAGTTCCGTAAAGGTTCTGTAAAATGTTCCTGTTATGTTCTGTAAAGGTTCTGTAAAATGTTCCTTTTAACGTTCTGTAAAGGTTCTGTAAAATGTTCCTGTAACGTTCTGTAAAGGCTCTGTAAAATGTTCCTTTTAACTTTCTGTAAAAGTTCTGTAAAATTGTCCTTTTAACGATCTGTAAAGGTTCTGCAAAATGTTCTTTTAACGTTCTGTAAAGGTTCTTTAACATGTTCCTGTAACATTCTGTAAATGTTCTGTAAAATGTTCCTGTAACGTTCTGTAAAGGTTCTGTAAAATGCTCCTGTAACGTTCTGTAAAGGTTCTGTAAAATGTTCCTGTAACATTCTGTAAAGGTTCTGTAAAATGTTACTTTTAACGTTCTGTAAAGGTTCTGTAAAATTTTCCTAACGTTCTGTAAATGTTCTGTAAAATGCTCCTGTAACGTTCTGTAAAGGTTCTGTAAAATGCTCCTGTAACGTTCTGTAAAGGTTCTGTAAAATGTTCCTGTAACATTCTGTGAAGGTTCTGTAAAATG